TGGTTTTCCCATGACTTTGGGGGGTAATAAACGACGCACCTGTTAGTTTAGCCACAGCTCCGTATGTGGCACAGTTTGTTTACGAGCTTTCCTTAGCAGTTGAAATTGTGCTCATCTGAAAATAATTGAGTACTTATCGATGCTTTTCCAAATTTTCTAGGTGCAAAATTTATACTGCCATGAATCTGTTTGTTGTGTACATTCTATTTGCAATGGCTGCTGCATGTTTCTGTACATCAAAGACCACCAACACAGAGAAAGGAACCCAGAAAAATTACAGAGACATTAAATGCAGTCCAAAACCTGGAACTATGAGAATATATGGCGCAGGATGCATCGAGAAAGCAATTCGTGGTGTTGGTTGCAAGGGATATTGTCTTTCCAGCTCAAAGCCAGGTTTAGCTAATATAAACGAAGTTAGCCATGAGTTCCAGAAGATGTGCAGCTGCTGTCAACCAACGAAATGGAAATCTAGGACCGTGCAATTGAACTGCCCGAAGTTGGCCGTAAAACAACGAAGAGTCCAAGTATACGAGGCAACCCAATGCTCTTGCATGCCTTGTAGGTTTTCGGCGACGCTGAACAAGAGCATTTGAAATGTTGACTTGAAGTCAGCTTGTTTCAAATCATGCAATATCAACAGCAAGAGTAACGAATAGAAAAGACGGAGAAGAGACTAAAAAGATGAACATTTTGCGTAACTTAATGATAAAACAGAGTTAGTAATTCTGCTGCAAGTTAGCAGATGAACCTCATAATTGTTAGATCACACAATAGAAACTGCAGTTTACGTAATTCGAGAATCGTTCTAGAAGAAACAAAACTTTGCAGTCTCATTTTCATCACTGTTTGTCAGCGATTTTTTAAAAGTCAATCGGGTACCATTCTAGTTGTTATCTCCAGTTTCAGTCCAGTAGTTTTAGACCTGAAATGATGCTTTTCATCTCATTCTTGATTGCATCTTGTACCTTTAGTTCCCTAGATGTCATACAACTGGTATTTGACTGTCAATGCATTGTAATCTCGTTGAGCATCAAACAGCAAGGTTGAAATTCTAAGGTTTAGGATTTAGTAATTAGATTTTAAACAATTATTGAATTTCATATGAATACAACAATAGATGCAACAGTTTGCGCTGCCCAGTGTCATGTTGCAAAGTCTCATACTGTGCATGCAATTAACTATCTTTCCATTTCAACGTCGGTGAGCCTATGACGTTCTATGTTTATGATTCACACAGCTTCATGGACAAATTTGAAGTAAAAGAGAATTCACCAAGAAATTCTCTATTATTCGCTTGAAGGAAAATAATTAAGAATTTGAAGGTTATAACTTTTTGTCATGAATGCCCATACCCTGTAACTTGAACACAGCGGGTAAGCTTTAAATATTGTTATTGACGAGCATCGATAAATGGTATTGACAGTTGAAATGTAGTTTGATAAATACGTTGGCGAAATACGTTGAGCAAAGTATTGTGTAACTAAAACCAAATATACACATATATTGCTTAAAAAGTAGATGTAACATAAATAATTTGCCATGATTATTCAGTTTGCTTTAATGATATTATGCTAAATTGTAATTGCTTCAACTTAGTTTGGAGTTTGGAAACATTGTGGTGCCAGCCTCAATTTCTAATGTCTATGCTTGGGTGTATTTATTAGAGCTGTCACAAATACGGCTTTTTGTCAACAAACTAGGACATTTTGACAGATTAACAATGGACCTAGTTCTATTGTATTGCCGGTAATCTTCATTTAGGGTTTTCTGTCAGTTTATACAAAATATATAAAAAGGAAATGATCTCCTTAGATTTAGTTGGCGCTTTGGATGTCTCTGGGAAGGCAGGTAAGTGAACTCACTGCATTGTGCATGAAGCTTTATTGTATTGACGAGAATGAACCATTCAAAATGTAAATGTTTAGTTAGTAAATGTAACATTTAGTAAACTAAAGCTTTTCGTCTGACACTCTTCAGAGTTTAAAACGTCAGAACATAGACCGAAAACTCTACGCTAGGAAATATATATACCCAGTTGTGGATCGAAATAGGCCATTCAAAATGTATGGATCAAAGTTACCAACAACAGCTGTTCCTTTCAGTTTTTCAGTACATTGATCAAATTCAAGTACAAGGCTATACGCTTGTTCAAAAGCAATTTTGCACTTCATTCAATCCAGAGTTATATAAAGTTTCAGGCAAATGAAGCTCACAAAAGTAAGAGACTGGTAAGCACCGGAGCGAAATATTGTGCTGAAATCGTAAGGGGACAGGCAAAGAGTATAGTTACTACCTGAGACAGCACCATGGTTGGCACCGAAGAACCATGGTGACTGTCCCCTTACGAGTGAAATTTTTGAATTTTGATTCTTCTAGTTCCCTGGAAAATGTATTCTTTTTAGCAAATTCACTGAAGCAATCCTCCAAATCCTTTTAAAAATAATTATTTTTCTACAAAAATTTTTATAGCAGATAAAAACAACAACTTCGCCGTGGTCTTGAGAAATACCAGATTGTCAGGTACTTCTAATGCTTGGTAAGAAGCACAACTGGTTGTCAATTTAGATCTCTCTTTCCATCTTAGCATGCCTTTTGAATGTTAAAAAAAATCTGGAGCTCATAGTGAATTGCAGTTGACGCTTCTACTGAGAAACTGAGAAACTTTAGGAGATTCTACTGAGAAATAAAGGCACAATTTTACCTAAAGAGGGCCTGGATTTTTAGATTTATTGCCAACAAGCAATCTTCAAATCTTCAAATCATTAGTTTGTTTACCTTCATTCATATCAAGAAATATCATATTTAACCAACGGAGCAACTACCTTTGCTTGATCCTTTCGATATCCCTCTGAAATAATTAAAGCGTTTCTTCCACCGAGCGGATTTTACCTTAAATTTCCTATTGAGATACTATTGCGGGGTGTGACTCCCCCCACACCTCCCGGTCACGACGCCCCTGATAGCTTGCTACTATTTTGTCAAATCATTCATCTGTTCGTATTTGAAAAACAACAAATATTAGCAAATTAAGGAACACAAGGGACTGATAACCAGGGGCGGAAATTATGGGGGAAAATTCGGGCTTTCGTCGGATAATTGACAACCGTTTAACGTGTCGAATTTACTCCAAGAAATGGTTCTGAAAAGGAATTTTAAGCTAATCTAAGGGGCGTAATTGCCAAATTTTCTGCTCGCTTCGCTCGCAGGTGATTTGCATTTTCCTTTTTACCCCAGGGGCATCTATAATTTCTCTGTGCCCTTTTTGCAAAATTTGAGCATAGCATAGCTGATATAATATTAGCCATTACCAAATAATCAATCAAACAATACATGACCAAAATCAAAACTGCTTGTGAATTGTATATTTAATTTCAATTCCGTAAAGATTAGCCAAAATTTCCATCGGATTCTTCTGAATAAAAGTTATTTTCAAACGTATTTCTCACTGACGAAAACAAGATAAAATGTCGACTTAGATGAGATATCGATCTTGATATCAAAAATTATAACTGGATTTTTCTTTTTGCTTCTTAATTATGGCGTGCTCAGCAAAGATTTCTAAAGAGTCCCATCAAAAATAAACTATTTTTATCAAAATGTGCAGTTTATTTAAAATTAGGCATGGTCCATGATGTTATCTTGTCGGAAAATCGTAGGCCTGAGGCCTCCCAAATGAAAGCCTGAATTTCCGTCACTGCTGATTACCGGGGTACTTGGTTAGGGAACATATTTGTTTTTTTTTCTCTACTTGAAAAAGAGATGGGAGCAGCAGGTTTACCTATTGTCTACCCAGCTACTCTGTTGATATCTATAGAGCCCTAAATATATGCGTAGTATAGATAAAGATGAAGCATTTCAATGGACATAAACGAACATAAAATGATACCTGAAAAATCAAAATATTGATAAAAAGTTTAAACGCAATGTCTTCATTATATCATATCCCTATTTATCATTGAGTGTCATTTTTCTGAAACATATGAAACAGACTCTGTGTCGTTCAAAAGGCCATGCTTTCAGAAGATTACTAAGAATTCGCATATAGAAATTTCATGCATTTGGATGGTCTTAGGCCATTACAAGACAGATTTTTATCACACCTCACGTTACAATGATACTTATATTTCCAAATATATTCCAACCAACTCAGGGCTAAAAACATGTTCAGGACATAATGACATAGTGGTGAAAGAGTAAGCTCTCTATCCGGCTGAAGTTACTCCTGTGGTATAGAGACAAGGCGACCAAAGTATGAACTTTTCTGGCATTTAGGAAAATCTAGACAGTTGTATCATAATTGGTAGTAGTTTGGACCACCCAATGGGCCATCATGATACAGTATCCTTTATGGTTCAACCAGGAATGCCAAGGACATACATTTAAAGTAGTGTTTTTACATTGGATTCAAAGATCTCCGGTGGGTACACTTTCTAAAATTTTTGGTCAAACCAAGGCTAGCAAAGGATATCATATTTGACAATATTGGTCTAGGGAAAGACCTTTGAAGGTTGGATTTTCTTCCTGTTTATAATAAACACGTAAATAAAAAACAAATCGACCTTTGACATTTCCGAGTTTAAACCAACAATTTTGCGATATCTGCTAATTAAAATGGTTGGCAAATGAATTCAGCCAAGAGTATCGTTTTTCAATATTGATGATGCCATGGGTACAATTTTCGTAAAAATTTGTCTAGCCAAGGGTACCAATAAGAATGTGCTTGTGGCAGAAGCTTAGCCAAAATTTAGCCCCCACCCTGTACCTTGGACGCCCTTCTCTTTGTCAATTTTATCTCTGTGCTCATTTATTGAATATATTTTTATCTTTTGTAGAATGGAGATTCCACAGTAAATGAGAAACAAAAAGGTATTTTTTTCCAATGCCTGGCGTCAAAGGGAAGTAAATCTACCCCTTGTTGTTCCCGTTCGGCATCTTTCAGACAGCCTCTGTATGGTGCTCGAAGTGGCAAGGAGGCTTGTCGTGGAGAAAAGGGAGCAATGCAACAGCAGCAAAATAAAAGCTTAAAAATGGAAAATCTTGTTGTGTTTGACTTTGACAACACTCTAATCGATGGCAACACTGATTCTGTTATAATAGATATGTTTCCTGATTTAAAAACAACTGCAAGGACCTATCGATCAGAAGGAAAAGGTTGGGGAGAAACGATGCATTCGATTCTAGACAAAATTTCTGGCAAGCATGGAAGGACTCGTGAACATATCGATAGCTGTATTTATCAATTAGAAATCCCTAAAACTGTGAAGCAAATGTTTTCAAGAATTGTGAACTTGAAAAAATCTGATTTAATTATAGTGTCCCACTCAAATGAATATTTCATCGACATCCTTTTAAATATGGCGGATATCAACAAGTCGACATTCAAAAATATTCTCACTTATCCGGCAGTGTGGACTGATAAAGGTTCCTTAGAAGTTCAAAGATTCCATTCGCATGTTATAGACTGTGCATATTGCCCAAATGATTTTTGCAAAGGTTGGTAGTGCAATCACTTGTAGCAGAAAGGTTGAACTTGCTTTAACTCGTGAAACAGCCAACAAGGTTGGAAAGTTTGCAAATTGTGCATTGTAGATAAATTTGCTAAAAAAATTAAGTTTACTTCTTCCGCGAAGGAAAACCAAGTGCACTACACTTTTTTTAAAATAACAATATGTTAGAAAAAACATGGGCCTCAAAATAGGTTAAAATTTTTTGCCCATGACAAACATTCCAACTTTTTTGTAATAATATCATTTCAATATCATCCGTCGAAACTTACAAACAAATTTCCAAAAATAATTATCTAAAAACCTACACATCTACATTCAGTATAAAGCATAGCAAACTAGAATTTATTAAGCAAAAGGATACTTGAGTCCTAATGTCACTGATCACTTCAGAATAGTTCTTGTTAAATTTTGCTAATAGTTTCAAAGCAAGTTTCTTGTGGAAAATTTGGCATTCTTCACCCATAGAGCCATTGGTCCCAAAAACTAATGGTGTAAAAGTTTCATGCATTACTTCTATGATGCGTTGACTATAAGCTCTTTTTTTCTCATTCTCTGCATTTTTTAGAATTCTTTCTGTTGTCAAATTATTTTGTGACTTGGAATTCAGGTTAATCACTCTCACATCAAAAATGTTGTTTGTGCCAGCCGGTAGAACCCTCTGGCTTTTAAATACAGGCAAGCACTATCTTCATAATGAGCTGGAGATGATAATGCTTCACCAGTGAGCAGCAGTGGCCCAGTTGCAACGTCTTTGCATACTTCAGAGAGTAGGCCAGCTTCAAGGTCCTTTCAGTCATTATGCCTCATGTGGATAAATCCACCTTTTTTGCAGTTCATGGCATGGATTGGGTTAAAGGGTTGTTGGCAAGGAAACCTACTTGGCAGTCCTTTTATTGGCATATTGTATCTTAAGTATAAACTCCTAGAAATTCCTCTTTGTTTAACCCATAACCCTCCTCTTTCAAAGAAAGAACATTCAGCCAGTTGGAAGCTCCTTTGTCCTTTGCAAGTGTGACTGCTTTTTTCATGGTATTTGGAAGTTTGTCTTCCAGTTCCAAGGCTTTATCTTTGAGCTTGTTATTCTTTGGTTCTTGAAATTCCTTGCTATCTCTTAAACCTCCTCCTCTTTTGGAATTTCATCTAATTTTTGTTGATTTAATAATGATGCCGGAGATGCACTAATGGATTTCGATGGGAGGTATCCTTCCTGAGCTTCTCCTTGCCTGTTTTCAAAACCCAACCCCTAAGTCTTGTTGGAAGGGATAATGTATCCTGTAGATCTTTGAGGTTTCACATCCGAATATTGCTGGTAATACCTTATGATGTATATGATTGCTCAATGGTTTCAACAAATGACTCATGTTATGAATTGTCTGAAATAATAGGTGAATTTATGCTTGTATCCTTTGACATAGCACAATAGGCTGCTTGTGGCTGGGACTTAGCAATCTCACATAGGTTATTTAACTCCTTTATCCATTGATCCATTTTTCCACTGATGTACTACTCTTTAAAGCTTCCTATAGCTGCTCCAAGGTGTCTTTCTCCCCATGGTTGTAATTTGAATTTCATAGCTTTGAATATTTGCTTGGCTTCTTGGTGATCTATTTCATTCTTCAAAATCAACCATGGCTTTTTTCATTTACATTATAGCCAAATTTATTTCCTTCAGCTAATAAGTTGTCAAAATATGATACCAGTGACTGCAACTTTCCTGCAGCAGAGGCATCACCTGCAAGCCATACTTGTTTCACATCTGGGCTTGCGCTGCAGAGAGTTGAGGTAATCAGTGATGTAGATATCACAAAGAAGGGCCTTAAACAGATGTCACTTGGGCCTTAAACAAATTTCTTAACTTTTTATCAACTTTTCTCAATTTTCTCAATCATTTTCTATACTGTTTCTCTACTGCCTTTCTATTGCTACCAGGTCATGTCCTCTCAGATGCGATCAAAAAGTTGGAAGAAGCACAAAGGAAACAATATCTGACCAAAATTTATATTGGGGATGGAACAGCAGACTATTGTGGTGCAGCCTCATTGAATAGAGATGATTATGTACTTTGCCGAGAAGGGTATAGCCTCCAGAAGCTGATTTTTAAGCACCAGAATCATCTTCACAAGAAAGACAGTTCGCAAAACTTCCCTAAGTGCAAAAGCTGGAGCACATTTGAAGAAATGGAAGCCAATTTACTATCACTCTTGTCAAGCTGACATAATATGAATGTTTTTAGGATTAAAACGAAATAAAAGCCACCAAAAATATCTCACTAACACTCTTGAGATTTTAGTACTGGTCACTGATAATATACAGTTTATTACAGTACTGTAAGATTACATCAAGGGTAAGATTTGAAGGGGCAAGATGAGTGCCCATAATGTGTGCCCATAATCTTTGAAAAGCCAGAGAACACCCTTTTTTGAAGAAATTCTTTACCATCTGAGTGGCCTCTCTTGCCCCCCCCCATCACTATGCTACTGATAATATTAAAGCATACATTAATTTTTTTAAATTATTACAGACTAACTGCAGATGTTACAGTAAATGTTGCATAGTAAAGAACTGATAATGTTGAAAATTCACTTGTATATTTGTAAACTTAATGGCCACCTCCATTTCCTTCAGTTTTTTGTTGCCTTGGGTGCAGTCTCCTGATCTTATTGGCTTTACACAGCATGTTTTTGCAAAGGTTACTTTGGGAGTTGAGCATTGCCTACTACCAAGGCAAGTGGAATTTGTTCTCTACCACTAAGATACTATCAAAACAAGCTCGCATATGCATGCAAATAATTCTTATCAACAAAAAGGTGGAATCAGTGGCGGCTTGCAGCGGTACTAGTGGTACCAGTCTAGTACCATTTTATTTTGAAAGCTCAAAATATTATTGTATTGTATGATTTTGCTTTTTTCTATGATAATTGAATTAATGACAAAAAAGTGAAGGGCAGCTGAATACACCATATCTTAATTCTGACCCTCCTTATCTTAATTCTCGTTGAAAGATTGGCATGGAATAAACCCTTTATGTACACCAAGGTATTAGACCTTATTTATCCAGTACTGCAGAAGTCTGTCCCATTGTCATTTGTGACTCAATGTGACGTAAAACCGTTTGTCTTTCGACAATCCAACAATGAAAAATCGTTCACAGTACTAGATTCCTCTTTCTAGTGTATGCTGCGAAGCCATTTAACCCCTGCAGGCTGCCAATATCACATGACGTCAAACAAACCAAGGTATTGTATGAAAACTTCTGACCCGCCATAGAAAGATAATTTGGCCATATTATTAGCTAAAAAAACAAATATTTCCAGGGTCCACGCCCCTGCGCCACTCTTCCTCTAGCTGGTTCAATTTGCTAAATTTCTTTGCTTTTCTAGTACCATCTTATTTTCGTGCTAGCTGCTACTGGGTGGAATAGAAAGTTGGCCTTAGGGCTTCAAGATTTAAAAACCCTACAGTGAGTGTAAAGTAATGCTTGTGTTTGGATGTATGTTTAAGAAGTTTCTCTCTTTGCAAATTTTATCTTGGCAATGAACACATCTATACCACCAGGGTTAAAGAAAATTGCATCAAAGACTGAGAAAATCAAGCTGGAAAATCAAGCTGGAAAATCAAGCTGGAAAAAAGGCTTCTATTTTAGGTTTCTATTCTATAGAAAAAAAAACAGTCCTTGTTGAGAGTAATTTTGCATTTCAAGACACAAACATAAAGAATTAATGTTTCTTGAAAATGTTCTATATATTTACAATTTGATGAATTTGTACCAATCATCAAATCATGTTTCTTGAAATTGTATTTGTTCTTGAATTTGTACCAATCATGTTTCTTGAAAATGTTCTATATATTTACAATTTGATGAATTTGTACCATGATTGGTAACCACATTTTCTAGCATAGTTCTCTAGATAATTATCAATTAGCATGTAGCTGAAATTCCATCTGATCTTGAATGGATCTTCTTGAAAATATCTGAGAATTTGTTTTCAGGGAACAAGGACTCTAGTAATGACTCAAATTGTACATAGAAGAGTCTTTTGTTCAAGTTGAGATGCTGGAACATGTCAAACATCCTGAAAAATAGAAATTTGATGATTGATTTTACTGTAAGAAGCAACTAAACTCAGAACTGAAGTGAGATCTAGAAACCAAAATACTACAAAATTACAAAAACATTTCATGTATTGAGGCAATCAAAGACTTTGTCCACACATTCCAGAAGGGAGGACCAATAGAAAGTAAAATAGAAGAATTGAAATATTATGGCAAAGCAACAGAACTTATGCATTAAGGAACATGAACTTGACAGGTATGAAAGCAGACATCTCTTGTCGAAGTAGGAAGTGTGTCCCTCTACAACATTTGATTGACCAGATCATATAATCAAATAAGTAATAGATAATAACGTAAGTATTACCTTCCAACACCTTCTCTAGTGACCTCTGTTCCTAGAAATCTTTTCAGGTCATCTAAGAATTGATGTTTATAGAAAAAAATTACCTAACTTACATAATTTGTAACATTGTATTAACTAAAGTTGTTTGTACCATTAAGCTAGCTAAATAGAGATGTTCCTTATTCGATTATTAAATATTTTGATAATAAAAAAGCCTAACTTTGTTTGCTACAAAAAACTACAAAAAAGGTTGGCACAAACAACAAAACTTCAACAAGATTACTCAATGTCCACAGCATGTAACCCATATACATCAAAGATAAAAATGGTATCTATGGCTATTCCTATTCAGGGTAAAATGTAGGATCTGTAAAAAAATATAATAAAATGCAACAGACACATAACAGTGAGAAAAACCTGGCTCAAGTGTTGGTACTACATGGGCTCCGAGAAAGGTTGAAAAGTGGGGGACCCAAGGGAAAATTTAACGCCCATAACAAAAGATTTTGGAAAAAACTCTATTGTTTTGCAAAAAAGTGGGGGGGGGCCAAGCCCCACCGGCCCCCCCTTCGTCGGAGGCCCTGCACTAAGAGGTATTATTTGCATTGTATTTGGTTTTGGTAATAAACTCTTTGGACTGCTGATAAAATTCCAGGGGCAAAAACCAGTGTCCTTAGATAGCTTTGATAATTACAGTGCACACATTTGTCATACAAAAACAAACCTAAAGCATGTCAATTCATTCTTTCATAGAACCACCATGGCTTACTATAGTCTGGATTATGAAACCAAACCAGATAAGTATGACTAAAGTTGACATTTGGATCTTAAAAAGTTAGTGAATAGCTTTGCTAGTTATCTTTGAAAAGACAGGTCGTACCACAAAATTAAGATATGGAGCAAAGTTTACAGTGTCTAGACGGAGAAACTGTATATTTCAATCTCTTATTAAGACGAACAAAACCTCAAATAATATAAAGGTCTACGTTCCACATATCATTATTCTCATAGGACACCCGTATATAACTCAAAGGGAGTCGAATGACAGACAAGAATTTTCATCTCAGCGAATAGTGTCACTAGATAGGCCGTAGTTTGAGTATCATTGACAACGGTTCAATAATGAAAGGTGTATCATTTCCTCAAGATAACAGGTTGGCAGGAGAGTTTGGAAACAAGTGTAAAGAGACAATCGAGACTCGAGATTATTGAAAAAGGTCTTAGTAGCGAAAAAATTCTCACCTTATAAATATATTTCAGACATTTAATCAGTCACCTTCGAAATTACCTTTTGGGTCATAGAAATCAAAAGAAAAAGCAAAGATTGGGCCAGCTTGATGCAATATCCCTAAATGTATTCTGAGGCCATAGAAAATTCCCAGAAAATAAAAAATTTAAGAACGGGGTGAAGAGTGAAAGGAGTTCTTTGTATCTGAGCTTCTTTCGTTCGATGCAAAACAAATATTGATTGTCAAATTCCTTGAAATTTCAGGAATTGCAAATACATCAATATAAGCTTGAAAACTAATATATAATAAGTAGTTAGCAGATAATTTCACCATTCCGGAGCTTTAGATTGTTACAGTAATCTTAAATGCCATGACGTCATTACGAAAATCTTAAATGCTAAGAAGTCATTAAGAAATAGGTGTCATAAGATGCTGTGTAAAATATTAAAAATAGAATTGGCCAACTGGATAGCTTCACCACTTAAAGAGATTTTTGAAGAAAAATTATACGAAAAGGCCGAAATTTTGCTTTACAAAGAAATAAATTGGTAATCATCAAGAAACGAAGAATATTTCGATGAAAACGATAGTAAACGATACAATGGCATGTCAATTGAAACTGAAGCTTTTTGAAAAGAGATTTCTTACTTTCCAGTCAGGTTTAAAGCCTGCATAATGATAAGCATTCAATTCTCGTTATAAATGTTTAGGTGTTCAAATGTTCATAAGACGATTCTTTTACTATGTCGACCCAGAAAAGATTATAGAGAAGAGCATTCTTCACTCAATACAGAAAAGAACCAACTGGTTCGGCTATGGAAGAAAGAACAAAGCTATGTATATCGATCCTAGGCAGACCTCGAAAGAGATGGCAAGATCAGATCCAATGAGACACTGGTTTACCATATTGACGGCTGAAATGTATGACAAGGATGGTGGACGATGGCACAGATGTGTGGCTAAAAGTTGTGCAGAGGCCCAACAAGGACTAGGTTGCTAAAGAATGAAACATGAAAAAGTTTATGGGGGGTCGTCGCTAAACTGTAATCAGTTGTATGTCCTGATATTCAAGACTATGGGGGCTCATGCAAAGAAAAAATTACTACCAAAAAAAAATATGAAGACAATTTTATTCCTATTTCATCTTCCATCAGGCAATTTCCCTAAAAAAGTTACACCCCAATAACCTACTTACATACCGCCGTGACGGTAACTTTTGACTGTGAAGGGACTCCGTTAAACGTATACAATATAATCGTTAGTATGGGTACCGACACAGGTTAGAAAGTGGGGGGAAAGGCGAGTGAAAATTTAACACTCATAAAAAAAGATTTTGAAAAAAGCTCTTTGATTTGCAAAAAGGTGGGGGCATTGCCCAATACGTCACAGGTCCTGGTTAGTAATCAAAACACGCCTAAACATAGTCAAAATCTTTATGTTGATTATCACAACACCTAATCTATGCTACTAAAAACAGTTCAAGTGTAATTCTCATTTTCATTTCCCAGTGGCCCATGCGTGAATGTGCGTTACTCTGATAACGCATGCGTTCTGTGCCATTGTTTAGAAATATAGAGGAGGACGCAAGGAAATGAGATATAGTACCTGGAATGCTACCAAACATCTTGGCTTTGGTTACCATGCGCATTCTTCTGCACACATCATAAGGCCTGATAGGATACGGTTCTGCCAAAATACCACCAGGCCAAAACGAATCCCTGAGTGAAAGGTAAGCGTTTTGTGGTTAGAAAATGAATAATGCCTTAAATTAAGCTTTCTATTATATCAGCCAATTCATTGACAATGCGAAGTCATTGATACATCAAATGTGATATGAGGGTTTACCATGACAATGAATAATAACGTTAAAAGTTTGTAGTGCAGATACAAATCGGAACGCAATACAACACTTGCGCGAGACACGCAGGCCAGGCATCCCCACGATTGGCTGTGGGCTGGCCTACCAGGGGACCGTCCCCGCGTTATCATATGCCCCACATTATTATAATTTGCTGCTAAGAAATGTCTTCTACAGTGTAACTGGCTCAAAATAAATACATTACAGTGCCGTGGGGAGGGGGAATGGGGGTCTGGCTGGCCCAGCCCCTCCTTCAGAAGACAGTGTATATATATTTGTTTGGACGAAATATTTCTCCTTTGGATCTAAATTTCTCCTTTATTGTGCTATTGATTTTCCATGAATTAACATGGAATGACTTCATATACACACAAGACATTCTTTAACACAAATGCAAGTAAAAGCAAGTTTTAGGACGGCACCTATGATTACAGTAAATCAGATTTCTATTTTTGCCTTACGCCATTGCATATATTCCAGTCGACAGTAAATTGACAAACAGCTATGTGCCGGTGCAACAGCAATAAACAGCATAAACGCAATTTACGGGCGCTCCTTGTAAGAGAGGGGATGGATTCATTTTTAGAAATCAATCAGTCGACCTTGTACAGCGATAGGGTATGAACAACAGAAGAGTACTCTAGTTGCATAATTGTCTAAGAACCCGTTTACACGAGAGCGGATCTGAACCGGATCGGACCTAAAAGAGTACGGATACTTTTGGATCCGATCTGGTCCAGGTCTCGTGTAAACGGGGTCTAAAACGGTTTAAATTGCATCAAGGGATCAAGTCAATCGTCTACGAAAAAAACAGTTCTGTACAAACAGAGACAAAAGAGAGCCAATTTCTCACCTAAACGTCTTTACATATTCGACTATCTGTTCGGAACTTGTTAAGTAATCCACATTTTCTACAATTTTTCTACAAGATTGAAACAACATATCATGAATTTATGATTACTGTAATAAAAAGAGCTAATATTGTCGTTTCCAGTGCTACAAAACACAAACCAGCACCAGAGTGGGAGGAAATGCGACAAAGACTTTTGAATTTTCAACATAATATAACAGATTAGTTCCCTGATGATCACATTGAGCATTAAACTAGGATCAGCAACTTAGAAGCGTCCCGTCGTATACCGCTCTGCCTATAAGGCATTGAGCACTTTACGTCAAACTGATAAACAGCATTCTTCATAACATAACAGAATAAATTTCATTGAAAATTTAAAAAACGAGTCTCTTTGCTCTGCAAGTATCTAATCTCTATTTTCATAAAAGTAAACTACAAGATCTAGTCAATATAGTATACAAAGTAAAAAAGTAATGTAAATATTTCAAATCTGTTTTTTTGTTCAGCTTTGAACAAAATTCATGATTGAGCTCAATAGCTGAAGTGCAACACAAAGAGGTAAATTTGGGAGATGCTAACAAACCTATTTATTCGGTCACCATACGTCGTTTTGATTATTTGCTTCAAGATAACAACAATTCTTCTCCTTATCCATTGATTTCTTCAAGTAAGAAAACACAATCAAAGATAATGCTTTTCCCTCTAATAATATTAATACAGGGTAAATACAAATTGTAAGAGCCATTCATAACAGAAACTTGATGACCATGAATCTTTTCTCGCTATGAAATGCATTAAATAATAAAAAAGCTGTTAAATTTACTTAAATGTTTTTTTATGTAGCTAATAAAAAATAATTATACAGTTTTTAAGGCCTGGTCAAACGAATCAAACATCCGTAAAACAACACCCGAACACTATTATATCAACATTTTTGCCGATGTTTTTTTCGCCGATGTTTGATTTGTTTGGGTGTGGGCTTATAAACAAATGCTTTTAACAATTTGAAAATTTTAGCAATTATGGTCCTTGGTCGGGCCACTACTCGGAGTGGATGAATGAATCGAAATATGGTTCACTGGCTTCTAATTGAGCGTTAGGAAAGCTTAAGTACTCTTGAGGAAAGATGTGATAAAAGCAAACATAAGGTGCTAAACCAAAATGCTTAAAGGGGATTAATACACAAGAAACCACAGAATCCAATATTCAGGATCAAGTTAAGTATTAACAGTCTCAAATGAATGAAAAATGACAAAAGAAGTACGAGTGATAACCATATAAGCAGCTTCTACAGCAAATTACAAAATGGTACGAAGATACGAAAAAAAGATTAAGGACAGTGACCAAAAGGTCTTAGCTGCATGAGGTTCTTATTAAATTTTTGGTCGCATAAAGAGATATTTTACCCTGGGTACTCTTAGGTCCTGAATAAGCACCCCTCGCTTATTTCTTGAATAAGCATCCCCCGAAAAACTTCAGACCCCTCTGCTCTTATTACGACCCCCCGCTAATTAAGCCCTACATAAAGAGTGAACAACTGAGATTGAATTGGTTAATAAAAGTAGTAGGACATTACTGTTCCGTTCTGTTTGGAAACTATCATCTTGATTTCTACGAATATTTTTCCTTTAACACTGCTTGGTACTCGTTTACACCAAATTTCAACCCCCCCCCCCGCTTGTTTCGACCCCTCGCTTATTGATATTGAATTTTAAGAAATTTTACAAACTCCCCCTCCCCTCGCTTATTAAGACCCCCCGCTTATTCGGGACCTAAAAGTATATTTTGCCAATAATATCCTGTGAGAAAAAAAAGATACATAGTTTATTTGACTTCCCTACCTATCTTTAAGGTCAAATATTTCATCCATTAGCAGTAGTAGAATTCGCAGAGGGATATTGTCCTCGTCCTAGAAATGGGAAAAGCAGGATAACATTTACAGTAAGAAAACGGCAAAGATGGGAAAGATCCAAGAATTGAGCGATAATCACAAAATCAACTATCACGAACTATGAATCAAAACAAACAAATACATTCAAAATTGATTAACAAGCAGCAATTAAATGATGGCTCCCTACATTTCTAAAACCACAAACAGAAAATGACATTGACTGAAATACTAGAGCCTTCAATAACTTGTACTGGGACTGTTTTTGCAACTTTGCAAAACATACAGGTGCAGACTTTCGAAAAATATAGGCAATAGAAGTCTAGACAAACCTTGGTCAGTTGCCCGTAGCATAATTCTTCTGAGAGTTCCAAGTACGTTTTAAAGGTTTTAAAGCTCTTCCAGAAACATCAAATATACAAAAACCTAACATAGCTGAAACCAAATAGATACAAAAAAGCGCAAATAATCAATTTGAGCACTTAGAGCCTAAAAAAATGCCTGCGAGAATTAATTTGAACACCGAGCGATTGGCGTCGTATTTTTGTGTCTTGTTTCAATGTATTGAAAACCAGATTTGTTCCAACGGAGAGAGCTGGATGGCTGATTTTGCCATTAACAATTGGCGTTAGTATTTAGAAATTTTGCAGACATGGTGCATTAAATGAAAGGATCTAGTGTTATTTTACATCCATTATGACTGAAATTACCTCAGCATCAAGTGATTCTGAAAGCTTTCCAATAAAAAGATTTTCTTCGCTGTTCTTGCTTGCCTAGATGTCGAAGAATATATAGCAAATAAAAATCATTTAAGACAATGTTTTTAAATTTTCTGAAAGGAGTCGATTCGAAATTTGCTGTGCCAATTTAGAACCAGCACAAGAAAGAAACTCACTGCAACTAAATGAGAAACATAGAACTGACTGGACTTGAGAAATCGCGAAGAATTTCTTGAATCTGGCCACTTTAACAGCAAGTTGCAGAAACTTGGAAAAGGCTTTATTATCAATTACGGTGGAAATCCAATGTATAAGAGAACATAATAGCTACGTTCGAATTCTCATACAGTATTTTACCCAAAATTATACATAAAGATGTCAAAATTGAAGAAAGACAAATTACAAAAGGCAATACGAACCTTCCCTTTAATACTATCAACCAGGTCATTATTAGGTCTAGACAATACTTCTGGCCTTGGTTTGTTTGATTTTGTGGCAGCTTTAACAGAAGCTTTGATGGGCTGAGCAATATGATCTATCTGTAAATCAAGTTCAGATTTAATTGAAAGGAGCAGGGAAATCTACTTAAGCAAAACCAAAAGATGTTGCAGCTTCGTGCAAGATGATTTTCAGGTTTGTGGTTTTGAAAAAACGCAAAACACAAGGGTCAATAAATTACAGGTTTTCAACTTTCTAGAGGGGATTCAACTTAGCTTTGAATTCATCTAGTCTGCTAACAGCGGAAAGAATCATCTATGTCTCTTTGTAGCGATAGTACTGATTCGCAATTTTTGTACAGAGAAAGTTCAGCTTGTGGAGAAAACCTGTTGCATTGATATCCAACAACATAAAAAGTTTATACTTCACTAACAGAAAAACAATTCGAGGAATACCCGCCTTAAAAAGTTTCAGAGTTCAGATTGAAATGCATAATACAATTTCGGTTACCGATTATAAAAAATTTATATTTTGCTTATAACTAAATTATCTTTTGCCCAAATACTCTACACTAGCAAAATTGTGATTTCAGTGACCTAAAAAGACACTCTTTATATCTACTTGTAGTCGTAAATTCGTGTTTTTCGACCCACCACAAAGCTACTGATAATATTACTGCGTATTCTTGTTTGATAATAACATGAAATGGGTAACAATCAGAATAAACAGGGAATGAAAGCAAGATATCAACATCCACTGCAAGAATTTTTCTAACGAAAGCAACATTTCAAAATACTATAATGCATTTAATGAACTAAATTTTTAGGGAAAAAGATGAAAACATTTTTGCACGCTTTTCAAGATTCCAGGAATATGTTACTGAAGTCAATAAATTTTAGTTACACCTAATGCTCTTTGCTGAGAATGCTGTTGATCGACAAGGTTTTGAAGGTCGCTGCTTTTGTTCTCTCCCTTGGTCCTCTTAAGTTTTTGCAAATATAAATTTTCTGACCTAGGCTCCTGGTTCTAGGCTGCTGCAAGCTCTTTAGACAGGCCATATAGATATATATATTTAAGGGCAATTGGATAATGAGGGAATTACTCACTTTTCTAGATATAGCGCTTTTTCCTTTGTAATATTCACCAGGCTCAAGAAATCCAATCACAAGCTCATACAGCCCTCGATTTTCAGTAAGTATCTCAGTGGACAGCAAATACTGAAATCAAAGAAACAACTTTTTATTTCAAAATGAAAATCACCAGGCTATTACAAATTTACAATTAACAAACACTGACAACGGTCATACAAAAATTATCTCTATGCACAAATTCATTTCGAAGGCATATTCCCAGTGCATGATTTCTAGTATATAGTTAGATCTTTCAAAACATATAAACGCCGTCACGACTGCTACATGCAGTGATTGAGCTCTTGTAGTGATCGTTGCTTAGCCTGAAAATTTCTCTATGAAAATCCTATAAACTATTTTATCGTAAAAGCGAAGAAGGAGCTGTAATATTCTTATTACATTAATTATAGAATAACCGGTATTATTTTTTAATAATTCTGCTTTTAGTTCACTTAACATCACTTCTCTTGTATATTTTCGATAAATTACGGGATGGCATTCATCTAATTTGAGCAAAAACGCTCGGTAAAATTCTAGTAATTTCCGTGAAGATTTAGTATATTAGATGCCATATTGAAATGACAGTGACGTCACAATAAAGGCAAAGGAGATGGGCCAACTTTTGTCGAGATTCTAGGGTAGGGGGGTAAAGAATTGTTTTATAACTTTTTAACGAAGGGAGAGTGTCTTCGGCTTTAGATGATGTTAGAAAAAGAAGGAGCGGAGTAAAAAATCCCCCTTCTAAACGACATCATTAATCCACAGTCTCTAAAAAACGAATAGGTCTCTCGTCAAACATACCAACAAGTAATCCTCAAGAGCTTGCTTTCTTTTTTCAATAAAATTTCGATCCATGTTTCCAAATGTTTTTTTGCCGGGCAAAGTCAAAGACGATAGCGAAGAAAACTAGAAAAAAATATTATCACCATAAAATATTCAAAACCTCCTTGCTGAGGTCACAGTATTCCATCTGATAGGCTTTCTAACATGTCACTACGGGATGACTTTTGTCATGTGCTGTAATGTCGAGCAATTGCACTTGGAAACTATTAAAAACAAGATACTTCAATTTCAATTCCTATTCCTATGGTATGTGTCAAAATCGCACACATTAAAAAGATTAATTCTTACAGCAGTTGTTTCCAGACGACATAGATATATGGATTCCAAAATTATTCTAAATGAAAAGCAAAGAGTTTGCAGTACCAGGTTTTACAAAGGTGCGGAATTTTCAAGAAAAATTCGAATGGAATCAAATCAAACCAACAGGTCATTAACTCACGTTTTTTGTAATCAAGCTTCGTTTACGATAAGAAATGCAAGCTTATATAGAAACTAAATGGCGAAACAAATAAAAATTTCGTTTGGCAGAGACATACAGCAAGCAAAGCATATTAAGGGAAATCCTGGCTATATCTAGAGACCTTTTCGCGCAGCTTCATATGTAAGTCGTGGAAATCACTGTATCTTCGACACACAATCCAGTTGGTTGAGGCCGCCGCGTCCGTTTTGCAAACCTGAATGGAGTACACACCATAAGATTTGTTCTTTTCCTTGCAAATTCCTAAGGAAAGAACACGGGAATTGTACCTCAAACTGATAGGAATGAAAATACGGTGCAGTGAAAAACAAACATTGAAACTTAGAACGATCGTCCCTAAGAATACTCATCGCATACAAAAGCTTCAAGGTTTCTACTGATTCAAGGTTTGAAAAATCAGTGAACCTCACCACAAACAGACTTGGAGAGAGGGTTCAAAGCGAGATAGACAACTAACTAGAGAAGGGGCACAATCAAGATGATAACTCATTTCTATATTACCAATAAGATTTATTTGGACTTCTATATTTCAGTTTACTATTGAGGATCCAGGGCTAGTTAATAATGACAACGTGATAATCTACAATGGTAATGACTACTAAGGAAGGTACTTAAAGCGAAGCTACTTTTTCCAGATCCGACAGTTTCCATGCCAATGTTTATTACCTGCTCTTGTGATTGATGCAGAATATCTAACTTCACTGTCGGGTGTCCAGAGCTGCTCAGGACTTGGTTCAGTAGCAGGTTTTGTATCTAACACCCTCTGTAGATGTACAAAAAGGAAACCAGGATGAGGGTTGATCACTTCTTTACTGTCACTGTCAAACGACCAAATAGTTGTCTCTTGCATACAGGAATAGATTATCAAGATGCTGGTTTATCAAAAGGGAAAATCCCCAACAAATAGTAATAGATACATAAATTTATATATAAATATATAGAAAACACTTTCGTAAGACGTTTGACGTTATATATATATATAAGCCAACCCTTAAGCCAACCCTGGATATTTCACCGTAGTCAATGCAGTTGCATCTTCTATTTCGGCATAAAGCTTCTGTCAGATTACTTAATCACAAATATTTAATTAGAAGCCAATACATGAAAAATAATGTATTCAAAAAATAATTGCAAATGGAATTCATTATAGCTTGCAAACAAACACAAAAACAAAATCACTGCGAATCGCACCTCTTTCCCCACTTCAGAATCCGTGCTCATCGTGCTGGCAACGTCATCTGAAAAATACGACAATATCGAGTTCAAGGTCATCCTATTTCTCTACAGCATAAAGATGCAATGCACAGGGTTGGTAGACTTTTTCATTTGATGAATAAATAGACCCGCTAAATTGATTTTGCCTTTCAGCGCTAGATTTGCAATAATCACTTAAGAGGAATCGTAGACTGCAGACAAAACTGTAGTCTACAAAAATGAAACAATGTGCAAAATACAAAGTTTTTCAATAGAGGGGTCTGTAGAATGTCTGCAAAGAGAGGGACAGTCTATTCATTTAATACAAACCTTCTGTGTAGGGAGACTCGTTTCCATCATCTAAAAACATCAAGATTTACAAGATGAGCAACAAAATAAGTCTTGAAAAACAAAGATATCATTTAGAAAAATATTGAGAAGCAAAGCCCCTAAAACAGATCCCTGTGGGACTACTTTGGTTTTATCTCTCCATTCACCTTAGTTAGAGTTTAGCTTTGCCCTATGCACCCTGACTTGGAGATAATTCTAAAACATTCTGGCGCATATACGCGATATTAGTAAATAACTGGGACCTTCATTACAACATACTGGTAAACATAACCTGGCAAGTACTGAGGCAGCCATTTGGAAGATAATTAAAAAAGGTGACAATTTATGACAAAAGATAAGCAGACAAACATTGATATAATGTTTTAACTGGAAGATACACGGCGTGATTACTTTAGACCGGGACAAAAATTTAAAATCGGATAAATTAACCTAAACTATTATTGAATTTATTGATAGTTCAACTGCCAGGATAAACAGCTATAACGGGAAAAAATTATTTTGGCAAGGTAATAAAGTTAAATATCTTTCGTTTTCTACCTCTTGCATAAACGAAAATCACAGTTAAAGAATGACCATTAATAAAAAACTGTGCTTTATATAACTGAGTTAAACAAAAAGAATTTTTACCTGATTTGTCTTTGATGAGATCCATATCCATTAGGCATCTGTTGACAATAAAATGTTTCAGTCAGAACAAAACTTTGGCCCATGTCTTCTTGAGGAAAAATCTATTTTAAATAATTAGTTTATTTTATTAATTTTCATAAATTTATTCCAATTAATTTCAGTGATTTTTATTAGTTTATTTTCTGATAGAAATTTTTATACTACTTTTTACCTTTCAAATAAGAAAAGAAACTGCATAAAAACGTATATACTTGATATATGCAGTGCTGTTAAGAAATGCTCCGTAGTATTTTTGACTTGATAATATCTTGAACACCTATAAAAAGAACAATAATTAAGTGCGTATGACTTAAAGAATGGTTGAAGATGTTATTCATATAGTATACATATAGTCAATTAAAATTATGCTGTCCTACTTTCAAAAACCAAAGTGGAAACATTTTTCAATGATGTCTGAAAACTGCAGTATAACTTTTTTCAAATAGCGCCCAAAGTAAACAATGAGGCTTAGATTTGCTAAAATGATAAACAATTTGCTAAAACATGCCCAGGCTAAAAATTCGAATTACAACTTTACCCATAAAAGAAGATAAATAGATGAGTTTAAAAAACAAAACAATGTTTAGGACAAAGCCATCCAAAAAGTATAATGTCAAAAAATACGCTTTCTTTTTGGTGAGGAAAGGTATCTCGATTCTAGTGACATATCGCCGCAAAGTAAGAATCAGCATGACAAGCACCATTAACATCGGTGAGGCACAAAAATTGGAAAAGGTTAAAAAACGCGTGGTACGGCCCCAGGACCCTTGCTGTTTAAAAAAACAATCAGAAGCAGGCAAATATAGAGCCTGATGGAAAAGAGGGTAACGCTTCTGGCCTCATATAGACCGTTGGACAACTGGCAGATGAATGAACTGACCTGACTACAACGATAAAAATAAATTGAAGAAAGGCGGAAAAGCAAGCTACAGACTGAGCTGGTGAAGATCGCTTGGGCCTAGATTGACACTGGTTCTTAAAATAAACATCATTTTGACCATAAAAAATGGTTTCTTTTACCTGCATCTGAGCTGAGTCAAAGTATGCCCCACTAGGTTCCAGGCTCCTGATATCTTTGACAATTTTTCGTACCTGCTGATCTTCGAGAACAATTCTTGGGGAAGCCTAGGATTTAGCATAAGTCATATAATCTCAAGGAGATGTATCAGAACTGCAGCAAGATGCAGTGTAAAAGATGATCAAAAATCGTAAATCAGTGAAAACTTGTTGCTCCGGAAGCTCATTGGCCGATGAATACAAGCAATATATGAACGTGTGGCCTCTCTGGAGGAGAAGGGCCTTATAGGTACTGACTGTGAAATTATAGTACGAAGAGATAATTTATTATCAAATTTTGCACAAAAAATCAAACAAAGTGGTTATAAAATCTTTTTAGCACTGATGATTGAAACAACGCACCTTTGGAGATATATACTCTTCATAAATATTTGCAGCTGCCCCTCGTAGTTGCTCAAAGTCCAAATCAGCTCGCTACATAAAATATCAAAAGAACTTAAAAACAGACACAATAATGGCAAACAAGAAGAAACAAATGTTACAACGTTTTACAGTGCAACCTCTATTAACAGATATCTCTTTACAACGGACACTTCTCAACAACAAGCAGATAGTTTGCTTGGTCAAAACGCTCTTAAAGGGCCCTCTATAACATAGACACCTCGATAGAACGGTCACATCTATACAAAGGACAGTTACACTGATTCAGACGGTGTCCATCACAAGGAGGCTCCACTGTACTTACAAACGAGGCTTATCGGCCTTAAGCAGATAGTTCAAACTGTTAACTCTATGAAATACACGCTGGCGGGGAAAGAATAACTGCGATTGCATAAATTGTAAATAGGCCCAACTTCTTTGGATGTAACTACATGACAAAGAATGCTATCAGCAAAGAAGAAAAATTAAATGCAATAAAATGGAACAATGATCACATTTTGTGAACCAATTTCTTGAGCTCTGACTGTTTCCTCTGCAAATATCGACAACTGTTGCTCGGCAGTGGCTCGGAATCCCTGAACACAGATAAAGGTAAATTAAGACGTGCGTTTAAACGGAGGATCAGGTTTTTAAAGGGAAGCCATACCCTGTTTCTAAGGCATTAACAACCCCCCCCCCCCACCAATCACGGGCTTATCACGCACATCTCACTTACAAGGCACGTGAAGGTAAAATAAAAATCACAAGTGGCAAGACAAACTAACTTATTCCTCCTGCTTGTCGTTCACATACTACATTTTTCCAATCTGAAGGACAGTCAAGTCAAAAGTCAAAACGCAAGGTAAATAAATAATTATTCATATTAAGAAAAATTATATCGGATTATAAATACAGTTATATTTTGAAAACTTTACTTTGCATGTTTATAGAGAATATCTCTAGAGGTCAAACATAAATCGAAAACAGCGTCAAAGACAATCGAAGCTCCTTTAAATTATCTTGCTGAAACGCTGCTCTGAAAATCCTGGTTAAAAGTATAATTTTATCATTATATCGCATATACATAAACGTATCATTATATTATCCAATTTCATTGCCTCGCCATTAACCGCACAAAGTCTCTTCAGCCGCTCTCCAATTTGAACTGTGTTGCTAATCTCGCTATTTTTATAGATTTTACTACGGCCATTGCTCTCAGAGACTATTCCGGGTCCACTGAGACATGCACGCAATACCAGGCACTCTTCCAATGTTCACCTTTTCAAAGTCTCTTTGCCACACGCACGAAATGTATCCTAAAACTATTCCTTCCTCCCTAGATCTTGTAAACTTTAGAATGTGCTACTCTCACTGTCTTTATTCAAAACAAAAATAAAAAAATAAAAAAGGTTGATCTTTCCTCTCTCTCTTCCTAATCCCTCCTCCAAATCCTTGAGCATTTTGCTAACATTACCAACAGAAAAAAACTGTTATTGCTTGTTTTTTGTGTACATTTCCTTAGAAAAACTCGTGAATTCAAAATAAAATGTTTGCAACTGTCTAACTAACCTCGACAGTCAAATAGAAGAAAACATAATGCTCTGCATTGTGTCCACCCATGTATTCTAGGAAAAGAGTCAGCATAACAGTAGATATTCATAAAAGAGCTTTATATTTCAAGCTCAAAATATTTTCCATACTTTTATTGTTTTTACCAATCACTATAATAACCAGTTTTAATAATATTCGGCAATCAGTAACAATCAATGAAAAATAATAAATGATGTGATTCAGAAGATGATGAACTTCTTAAAAATCATTTAGCTAAGTTTTCAATAGTTACGTTATGTTTTTAAACTATAACTACAACTGTGCTAAAAGCTAAGAGCCTGTCACAGATCTTTGGAGTGACTTCACCCTGACCAGGCCGACCATTTTAATAACAGACCACTCATGTCAAGCTTAACTTTTTATCATCCTTGTAAATTGTTCGTAATGAATATCAATGTAACTTTGTTTTTAGAGATTTTCTTATAGTAGGCTAAGTTTCTTTGGTTTTACCTTTACAATTTTATTTATTCAGCACACACGTTGATAGCAGCATAACATGTTGAAGTGTAAAATCCTGTATAGAAATTCGTATAAATGTATACGTATCGGAGTTTACAACATGGTGTTTAAAAGCTCGATTCTCGCCCGCCTGGCAATCATCAGGCCATTGCCACTCCAATATCACGCTTTAAAGCAGATAACGTTTCTTGGACCTTAATTAATTACAGGGCAACTCACCAATAAAATATGACAGGGCGGTATTGTCTTCTAGGATGGTTTTAATTGACAGCTTGGGCACCCTCTTTGTGCCTATCAAATTGAGTAGTTCTGGCCCAGGCTCCGGTTCGGGCTCCTGTTCAACAAAAGCCAAAACTATTTATTATTCGTATAAGAAAAGCAAAAAATCTGGTATCGATACTTCTTTATAAATATTAGATCTTTACACTTATTGCGTAGCACCAGATCTTGAGCAAACCAAAATTTCTACATGAAGCAATTCTACAATAGAATAGAGGCCCCTTCATAAATGGACCTAAAAGATGCCGTTAATCGCGTTGGTTTGATTGTGACACAGGATAACAATTTCGTAAAATAATCCTCAAAATCGACACACACTCTCATCGGCTATACAATAATAAAGCAAAAAAATCTACAAGTATTTGCTTGTTCAGCTTTGCAACAGTTACCAGCACCTGAAGAAGAGTATTAGAATCCAAAAAACATATGGGTAAAGCCAATTGACATACCAAAAATGGCTGTTGTCCTATTTCTCCAGCTTTCACCCGTCGTATCTGAGACACACAGAGCTTGCGGACATACATAAGACTCCCAAGCCTCTTTTTGATATTCACCTCTGAATCGTTGGATCCTACGAAATGAAAATTTCATACAAAATGAAGAAGAACGTTCTTATCAATAAATACTTGTATTTTAGATCAAATAAAAGAAGCGAGAAAATTCAGTAGAGCTCTCGAGGCTCAAATATGCAAAGCAAAAAACGCTAGATAATGCATTTTTGGCAGAAGGTGTTGCGTTGAGTTATTTCTGATAGCCAGCAGACAAAGATATAAAAGCTTTTAAATCGCCTTTTGAGGAACAATTTTTAGGTGCACTGACATAATTTTGATATTAACATTCCGGAGTAGCTGCCTTTAAAAATCAAAATGGAAATAATTCCTAACTATAAATTTATGGTTCACGAAACAAAAAAGCCGCTCTTCTAAGAAAATCATTAATTTAAACTGATAAGAAACAGAATTGACAAAATCTCAAAGATCCCCTGAACAAGAAATGATGCGACTCAACATACCAAATGTCTCAGAATCTAATGACCGTAGCTTGGCAATTTCTATATCTACTTTCTTCTTTGTTTCTTCTAAATCTTCCAAATCGTCACACATCCTGCAAGGAAGCATAAGGCATTTAAACCATTGATAAAAAAGTAGGACAGCATTTAAAAAGCAGTATTAGTAGCAACAGAGATCGTACTTTATTGTCGTGAGGAAATGTTCAACTGTCCAGGCTGCCTCCTTGGCACACTGTCGAGGAAAAAAAATATTCTTATTCATAAAAAAATAAAAACTGAGGGAATAAAAATCAGCAATTGAGAGAGTAATGGCTTGTTATGTCATGATATAACATTTATTGAATGCTAGCTATAAAATTAATGGTTACAAGCACAACGATACTTTTCGACTGGTTTGCCATGATTTGTAGCAATAAAGCTACAATAATAAAGTTACTGTCTAATGATAGCCTAGTCTAGCACCCGAGTAAGAGTGTTGACAAGACACAAGATGAAAAACTACAAAAACATCCCCTAACGGCATTGCTGTGTATCCATCTACAATGCTTTTAGGGTTGTGGCAGGGTAACGGGCTATTAGAATTTTGTCACAACAAAAAATTAATTTGTTTTACAAGACTGAAAAAAAAGTATATGATGGATCCAATCACTCAGCTTCATCAGTCACATTACTCTTTTTGTTTTTTTTATATTCACATAAAATTTTTACAAAACATACACAAATTTACCAGAGGATATCACAGGGAGCATGGGAATACAGAGCAACCCTGTGGTAATTTACATTCAACATATAAAACTAAATTAACTAAAATTTAAAGGTGCGAAATGAACGAAAAGAAGAAATAGAAACTATTTCTAGAGAGAGGAGAGGAGAGAGGAAGTATGTTGTTTGTATCACCAATTTATTCAAAACGTTTAGAGGCCTGGGCATATCGTAGCGTTGCAGCGAGAATTTGACTTAAGTGGTATTTCTCCATGGCCATAGTAGATGATATTTAGCACATCTTCATTTTAAAGATTTATCAGACCATGAAGCAACAATATAGCATTTATACTGTTGAGGAGATCACATCTATCTACGTTATAACTATGGCAGAGCAGGAAATAGTGCTCCGTGTCCTCAACACCGTCATTCATCGGGCACAAAGGATTCAAAGTGTCATTAAAATTGTGCTTAAATTTATGGAAATTTAGCTTTCTGAGTCCAGCACGTAACTGCGTCAAGATGGATAGCCCATTTGGGTCATGAATATTGTAGACTGGTTTAGGAGGTGGACGGATAATGGAAAACAATTTTTTCTGGAAAACATTTACCAAGGTCGATTGCCTAACCTCAGGATCGAGCTTTTCCCATTCTAACAAGCGGTTGGGATAGAAGCTTTGTTTAAAAATGTTTGTTCTTGCACATATTTGCCCAATTGTAGTGCGTCTGCAAAGGTCATAATTGGATTCTTGAAGATCGGGAATTGGAATAATCTGGTGTAATTTGTCTTGTATAATCTGGTGTTAGGTTGTTACCTATTTTATAGAAGAGGATGAGACGTCTACTCCATCGTCGGAGGTTTAACGATTCCCACCCAAGCTTATCATACAGCTTCTCTCGAGAAGTACCTTTCCAAGCAGCTTTCACTGCTAGTGCAGCAGAATACTTGGTAGATTCAAGTTTTTCTATTTGATTGGTTAGGGTGACGCGATGTATGACGTCACCGTAATCGAAATGGGCGGAATGGGTGGCATGGGACTTTAGACCACTGACTTTAGACTGTGGTCTAAAGTCATAGATGGTCTAAAGTCATAAGTCACATTACTAGACCGTGGTCTAAAGTCATAGATGGTCTAAAGTCATAAGTCACATTACTAGACCGTGGTCTAAAGTCATAGATCGCCGACCGTGGTCTAAAGTCACATTACTCTCTTCGCAGTCAGGACATCGTAGGGCAAATAATGGCGAGAACAGAAAAATTCAAATCTAGTTTTTATCTTCACTGTTTATCTGAATGGAACAATATTGAACCAGAGCTTAGACTTGCACCATCTGTCGCTATTTTTAAGGAAAAATTTTTGTCAATTATCCGCCTCCCTTCAATGTCTGTCTTCGGAATTCATGACCCAATAGGATTATCCCTTCTTTCTCAACTTAGAGTTGTTCTAAGCAAATTCAACTATCACAAATTCAAACACAATTTTAGGGATACTTTAAACCCAATGTGCCCTTCGAATGATGGCATTGAGGATGCGGAACATTTCTTGTTGCTTTGCCCTTCTTTCGCTGCTCAACGACAAGATCTTCTTGCTGGAGTCTTTGACATATTACGACCTCTTGGACCTACAAACCTGTCAAATAAGGCTCTAACTCAGCTTTAACTATATGGCAATGAAAAGTTCCCTTATGGCGTCAATAGAAACATTCTCAACTTGACTCTAAGATTCATCCGCAATACTAGTCGGTTTGAATAAGGTCGTTTCAATGTAAAGTGTACACCACGTAACCATTTTTTTAATCTGTAACGTATTTTTATTTCCTATTCTTATATTTATGTGTTTAAATATGTTAATGCCCTTGGGGTAGACACAGCCTTTTGCTCCCCGGGGGTTTTCGTCCCAGTAGTATTGTAAAAGGGGTTATTTTTAGTAGTGTAGACAGTAATATGTATTGTAACTTTTTATTGGATTATATAAAAAAACATTCACATACATAAAGTAGTAGTTGTGAAAAATTAGGCAAAATACTCACAAACCAAGAAATGGTTTGATTTATGTAATCAGGATCACAAACCATTTCAGCAGTTGGAAGAATCACTTTTACAGCAATAATCTCCTAAACGAGAATAAAAACATTTGAAAAAAATTCAAAGCTAGGCCATATTTAAGAGTGGCTGGTATTAGTCTCATCTAAAAAAGTCAGCTTTTGTGCACTTACGAAGAAAATCTGTTTAGCCGCTTCTTTTCTTCGAAGTTCTTCAACCTGTTCTTCTCACTTTCAATTACAAATTTTATTCAAGACTTTTTTTTAATTTTGGGTCTTGAAAAGCAGATTTATATCTTTTTTGCTCAAAATTGCTCCACTTTTTATTTAAAGGATTTAGAGTTAATGGCAGAGATCGCATACCATGACAGCATAAATTAGAGAGTGGAGCATACAAAATGTGATACGGCCTTTCCTTTTCTCACAGATCGTTCCATTCTTATGCTCCAAAGTTAACCCAACAGATTAAAGTGACAAAAATGAAAAATGATAAACAGTACCCTTAAAAAATATCTAATGTTTTTGTTTTCAAAGTCCTCTTCGGGGAGAAGAAGGTACAGCAACACTTCTGATATATCTTGTAGGTATCCTTTTGATATAAAGACAAAAATCAAACATTAAAGATACAACAAATATATCAAAGTTTATTGATGTTCTGATCTATCTTTTGGTGTAAATTCTATTAGAAAAAGTCTTTCATAATAAAGAAATCAAGATAAGCCAGTCTGATTTCTGAATTCCTCAATAAAAAGCCATAAAAGGACTGCTTATAAGCGAATTAATACCTCTTTCTTTCTCATCATCCATACATACGCCCTCCCTAGACCTTCCCTTCTCTATTTCCCTTTCAACCTGGAAGAAAATTTTCTCCAAGTCTGCTTCAACTTGAGCATTTGAGTCATCTAGCGTGCCTTGACCTGAAACGAGGAAATTGGCAAGGTTCAGCGTAGTATAGTTTAACGTTTCCGCTAAAGAGTACCAATTACTCATGTAGCTACGACAAACAGTTATTCGTAGTTTTTGTATCAAAAAATTGTCTGGAAGCTAAGTTGAATTGAGTCACTAGGTAATTCTCGTCTCGAGATATAAAACACTATGTAGCGAACTTGCAATAATTTACATATAAAGAGCTAATTAGTGTTGTTTAAATGTATATAAAATATCAAAAATAGAAAGATATCCCCAATAGTCTCTATTGGGAATTAAAAGGATAACACATAACTTATTAAATGGTGTAGTGAAGGAACGTTGCTACACTTTTTAAGCCTATTGCAAATCTATTTTAAAATTCTTATGTGCCCTTAATTTTTACCATCATCGACCTTCTTGTCGGGGAGTACTGTATTTTCTTTTCCATTCGACTAGGCTCTTTGCATCTACTGACCTCCCGTCAGGTCACATCGTCACATTCTCAATCTATTACCGTGGTCTTCCCTTGATCTTCATTTGAATTGCCTTTTTCACAATTTTTTTCATACAGAGAGCATGTCTAAACCTCCGATGACATGTTTAAAAATTTTAATAAAAAACTACATTAGGTTTTGCCCTTATCTTCCCCATTCTATTATACCAAGCTGTGTTACTCCCCTGATTCTTCTTAGCATTATTATTTACTTTGCTTCCAGCATATTCTATTCAATACAAACGTCTGCTTCTCAGCTTTCTTGGCACTAGTTAACAATTCATAACCTCATCAAGCTCGTCTCGTGTACCTTTAATTCATCAGATAATTAACAAATTGTTTCTCAGGAAAAAATGCTTCAAAAATTTTCTTGGGTATATTAAAAATGTGTAATGCTAAATGAATTGCAAATGTTTTTGAAAAATCGTAAAATTGTCAAAGAAAGTCAAATATATATGTTATATATAGAACATCATACCCCTTTCTTCCTCAGCTTTCTTAGCTATTCTGTCTTTAGTTATTCGAAATATTTTCAAATGATTTGCAAAGTCATCTACCAGTCTTGTTGTTAAATAATTCACCCATTGCAGGTCTTTTGACCTGAAAACGAAACAAAGAAGTCAGTCACATTCACGTTATTCTAATTTCCTCTTTTTCACAAATTGTTTGCTAAGATTTTTCTGGCTATAAAGTTAAAGTCCCTCCAAAGTAGGTCTATAATGATATGATTTATGTGAACAGTTTTTTGGCGGTACAGAACCTGAAAATGGCTTTGAAAAAATCAAACATTTTACAACATATTAACCAAAAGCTTTTCGTCTGACGCTCCTCAGAGCATAAAACGTCAGAATCAGGGTCCGAAAGAACACGATGAAAAATATATACCCAGTTGGATCGAAATAGGCCAATCAGAAAAACGCAAGCACAAGACCGGTATAGTTGACCAATCAGTGCCGCGAACCTAAAGAAAAATTACCACTGGAGTCCAAGAGAGAAAACGAACACCTTCTGTCTAAAAACTGACGGCTTTTTTCGTTTGTATGTAGATCGATTCTAAAACTGCTAGATGGAAAGACGACCGGGCTCTGCCAATTATCCGAGAATCACTTGTTTTAACAGTGTTTCTAGACCTACAAGATCGAGGAGGCTGTTATCTTTGAGGGGCAGTTTTGTTTCTTATGTTGGAAGGAACATGCTGTTTTATCCTATCCCCCAATCTTTGGGTTGTTCGTCCTACGTAGCCAGAATCACGCTGGCACGTAAATTCATAAATAACGGAACTTTTTTGGTTGGTAGGAACGCAATCCTTTTGAATGGATGGAAGGGCTCTCCTAGTGCCGTGAACAATACGAGGATGAACAGCAAAGAAACATTTTGTGATGGCTTCCTAATCTGACTCTTTAATTGCAAGGAAGTGTTACCAATCAATGGTATTTTCAAATAAACTGGGCACTTTTGCGGAAACTACCTTGGATTGGTAACACTTTTCCAAGCAGAGGTACACAAAACAGGAGACTGAGGATCTCAACCAACTGGTGAAAATATTATTTATACATTTTAGTCAAACTTCCATAAAAGAATAATCCTAAAAGAATAGGAAACAGGAAGGTTTCATTTAGATTGACAATATTTTGACAACAGAGCAACAAAAACAATCAACAGGTTCACAATTACTTTTGTGCTTTATTTGAGCTTTCTTTCAGAGTAAAGAAATATTCAACATCATATAACTGAGTTTAGCATTGTTATCGTTTATTACATAACCTAAAACTTCTCATTGCAAAATCTCAACAGTTTGGTAATCAAACAAAAAAACCTGGATTACATTACATTCATTCTAAAGACTCGCCACAAAAGACCCAATCAAAAATAGTTTGCTAGATAGAGTACCCATGTAAATATAAATTATCAATGTCTCAGTATATGCAGTGACAAAGTAATTGCAAAAATGGACTCACCTGCTAGCAAATGTAATTATCCCTCTTTGAATAACTTGCCGCAAGTGATACAAAAAAGCTTCATGATCACTGATTGTATTGTACCAGTATTCAACATAATCACGAAGGAAATATTCAAGCACCTTTCAGAAGATAGTAAAAATAAATTGCTCTAGATTTGAATTTCTAGGTTATAAAATAACTAGGCATGATAAACAAGATAACATAGCCATTTCAATATATCCTTTGACATAGAGGGACTGTGCATCCAACAATTTTCTAAGAAAAATCTCTCAACACTCTACCTATTTGAGAGACCCAATCAACAGGATGTTTTCATTTGACAAGGCTATAAGGTGCTAATGAAGTATTGAATACAAAATAATTATCATTTCTAAAATAATCTCTATATTTTAGATTATTTCTCTAGATAAGATCTTATCAAATTTTTAGTTAAATTAATTTGGTGCAAGAAGAGGATTTGAGGAAGTTTGATAAGAGAGTGAAACAACCAGGAGTTATTACTTTAAACCCTAACTAGCTGTGATAGCCGCAGCAACTCCCTGGTGTTCGAAGTCCATTCTTGTAGCAAGTTTGGTGTGCATTGCAATGGATTCTCCTGCACATTTGGTATATAGGATGCAATGTGTTTGCATGGCACAGCTTTGGACTTGGATTGGAAAATGTGACCAGGTAGCTAAGTGAATAAGCAACAACAAAGAGTTGCTTGTCACTGGTTTGCGTCCTGCCTTGATTGTTTCACTCACTCACATTTTTCTCTTAAAATAATTGATTTTGATACTGCCATGTCGAATGTGCCTACATTTGGTGGGCTTGCATATATTAGAAGGATTTATAGTGTAAAAGGAGAAAGATTTATAGGATTTTTGCCAAAAAGAAAAAATCTTACCAACCTCTTGTAAAGCAGCATCCAAAGAGCTTGAGCCTGTTAAACGCTTGTCATATTTGAATGATTGCTGTGCCTGTTCTAAACACTCAAAGGCTTTAAGTATTCCCCTGTGAGGATCCTCTCTTAGCATTAATGGTGGATCATGCCGACTGAGTTCAATTTGTGATCTTTGAAAAGCATGATTCCCAAGGACAAATAAGAACCTAAAAAAGAAATTGCTTTGAAAATGAAAGTGTAATTGCTTGAAATTTTATCAAGAACAAGAAGAACACTGGCAAAACAAAATAAATTTAATGAAGAAACATTCAAATAGAAAGTTGGAGCACAACTTGGCGATAAAAGAAATGTCCAGGCGATGAGATGCTATATCTTCATTAATTATTCAAGGGCAAGTCAGTACAGGAATATCATTAGTATATATGGGAACATCGATCAATGTAGGCAAAAAATAAATCCATCCATGACTAACATGTTGTTTCCAAACCCAGCAAGTCCTATTTAAAGTGAGGAGAACACAAAGCCAGATAAGAGACAATGTGCCTATTGTGTGCTTTGATTCCAACTGAACTAAATTACTTATAAATTAATAAAATACTTATATACAGAAATACATTACTAAAATAAACAAGAATAATGTGAGAAAAATAAATAAAAGGAAGGGCAAGTCAAAGTGATGAGTGAATATAATATCATCAAAGTGGTGGCAAAGATAAAGTAAACAATAGGGATTAGTGAATGTGTGATGAGAGTGCCGTAGAGGATGCCTGTGCTGCGATGTGAGAATTATCCACACACATTATGATAGGAATGGATAATCAACTATGTCACAAAAAACTGGGAAAGATAAGCTTGTACATACAACTATTTTTCCTAGATACAACTATTGTACATGCAATTAATGCCCAATAAAAGGTTAACAGTAACCAGTGATGTTTGCACAGACTCATATCTACATGATGTTGTGTTTATGATCAAGCTTAGTATTCAATGACTTCTGAGATCATCAACTTTCAGGTGCAAGGATGGCTCAGTTGTTAGAGGCACTGACTACAGACCCAAGGGTCCGCCATCGAGTACCTGGCATGACCAAACTTTCAGCCAGAGTGAGGAGAGTTGCCAGCTCTCTGTAATTCCAGGCATAGAAATCTTGAGGTGTGGTCACACTGAGAAGAAGGACCAGGGCATAGAATAGAAATGACCAGAAGGGACATTTGTATCGGCATTCTTAGTTGCAAGTTCACTCAATTTTTTCTGGTGCTGCGCTGTTCTCATTTTCAACCGTCATGAAAGGAGGCTAGTAGTCTAGGATGTTTTGCAATCGCAGGCATGATGCAGCAAATTTCAAAACAAGCTCCTTTAAATATCACTGGGGCTGCACTTCATACCATCATGAAGCAAAAGAGAGTGAATAAAAACACAGAGGCACTTAGTTTGTTACTAGTTGTGAATGTGGAAACGATATTTAAGTTCTGTGAGATGCAACACTGACATTGATAGCAGTATTTTTAAGTAATGAAGCAACATATACAGGGCAAGATGCTAGTTTAATCCTTTTTCAGATCAATAAATTTGTTTTCCTAGTCCTATCTCGCATTATTGTGTTGTTTTCATCGATGTGCTTTGTTTGTGAGTATTGTTTTACATACTATCCTTGTTTTGGTGACGCATGCGCAAAAAAACTCACACTGAATCAATTGACCAGGAGTAACCCTTCTGGAAAAGGCTGAAAAGACATCCTTCTACCGTGTGGATTGAAGCACTTTTTCTATATACTGCGCTAAACATGCTTTATATTCCCAGGGGAGAGGTTTCTTTGTTTACAATGATTGTAAATCATATTTTGGAGGGGCCAGAAGACTTTAAGGTGGGTGAGACCTGAGACGCACACGGATAAAGTAACTTCTGGGAGATGGGGAGACGGGTTGGAAAATTCAAATGGTTCCTTTTACTTGAAGAAATTTTTGCAATATTTTCTCTTCGATAGCAAAATATAGGTAAGTAATTTTGCCTAAATTTTAAAATTCTAACAATTTACTACTGGATGGCTCAGTTGCTAGAAGCACTGACTACAGACCCAAGGGTCCGTGGCTTGAGTCCCAGCATGACCAAACTTAGGAATCATAAGGTGTGGTCACATCGAGAGGAAGGACCAGGACACTGCTTGGTAAGCATAAGCTTCTCAGTTTTCTTAGAACTACCTTCGGATGCTAGGTAGAAACAAATACAACAGCAAGAATACAACAACTTTTAAATTGAATAACAGAAATGTTAAACCCTATGGCAGCATTGGTATTGCCCAAAGTTCAAGAAAATGCTTGTACTTTGGAAGCAAATTTGTATTTCATTATATTCTTGTTGAAATGAAAAGTTAAGATTAGACTCGAAATGCTTCTTAGTCCTACTGACATTACATCGAAGAAAAGATATGCTTTTAAACAGTTCCTGGTTGTACCCATTGTCTAAGGGATTATTTAAATAGCAGGAAATCCCCTGATATGCTGTAAAAAGGCTTTGCATCCCCACACTTAATTGCAACATTTTCAATTTACATTTCCAAAACTCAACCAGCTAAAAAGTTGTGTTTTGTGAATATCACCTTTTCAAACATACTACAGCAGTTCAGTATAGGGGGGGGGTCTCTCCTCTATAAGTTGAGCTACTAAGAGAGCTCTTCCTTTAAGAATATTACTACCTACTGGATTTGTCTCATTTTATATTGTTATACCTTTATATAGTTATATATATTGTAAATTTTTAGCTGTAGCTGATTTTAGGTAGTCAAATTTATAAAAATGAAATAAAAGTGAAAAAATTAAAATAAACATTTTAGTGAACATACCAAGTTGCAATTATTTTTGCAAGAGTCTTACCCATACAACATGAAGGAACAATAGAGAGTGCAACAAGGATCAATGCATCTAGGAACATGAACTTAAGGAGCCATTGGTAAAGCACTGGCACTCACCCACAGCAAAGTGTTAGCACGTAAGCAGCTGTTGATAAAATTCCAATTGTACCAAATGTTGCAAATGACAAAATCACACCAATACCAATCCACATTATATTGCCCATGTCCTAAAAAAAATTTCTCTGTTCTGGGCAATTTTTTATTTTTGTATTTGTCAAAATTGGAACATAGAGTTGGAATCTTCATGTTGAAATTAGTCTGTGCCAAAAATTTCATGTTGTTTGGGCCATCAAGCAGCGAATTATCGTATTTTCAAAATTTAGCTTTTCCTATACATTTCAATGAAATTTTTTCACTACAGCAGCAAATTCCGGTCAAATCTAAAGAAATATCTAAATATTCAAAACAAAGTAAATCGTGACCAAATGGTCCAAACAACATTTGGTTCTCAATATAAACTTATTTCAAGAAGATGATTCCAAATGTGAAGTCCATTTTTGAGATATGTCGGTAGATAGCGAGATACAGAATTGGTGGTATCAACCCAGAACGGTGAATATATACATACTGTTATATTGCTATGATAATGTGAAGTTAGTATGTGATGCAAAGACAAACTTCAGGCAAAAAATTCAGGAAGGGTTTCTTTATTTCCCTAACAGATTTGTTATCTTGTACCAACATTCAAAATATTGATAAATCTTATCGACACTAACTACTTAACTGCACCAGGATAACTATTTTGGACGATTATGAACTGGCTCTAAAATAAGATTGGAAAGGTACAGTGGTGGACACTTGGGGGGGCGAGGGGGGGCGATCGCCCCCCCCCCAATACTTTAGAGAACAATGGTCTTTTGTTCTAAAACAATGGGAAATGTGACGTCATCTTATTAAAACAATAGGCTTGCCCCCCCAATATTTGACCAAGTGTCCGCCCCTGGAAAGGTAATTGTATAAAGGAATAAATACTGAAGGTTTAGGCTATTGGTTTTTAGAACAGGGTTTTAAATTTTATAAAAAATATACTATATGCTGCTGATTCGAAATGAGAATTGGTAATAGATGTGGTGATATACCTTGATGAGATGATTAGGAGGAAGGAACGTCTTGGTTTTGATTGCTTCCCAGCTTCTTCAGCTTTCTAGTATAACTTCCATTTTTTAGGCTTCTTCGGCTTTCTAATATTGCTTTTATTGCGTGAAAAATGTTCCAGAACAAGATAAAGGCAGAGACTCAGCCGATTTTATAGAAAGACGTCTTAACTACTCTTGAGGCCTGGTCAGGTAGGTAGGTAAAGTTCATCTTTGTTGTTGTTGTACTATTAGAATATATTGAGTTGAATTGCAAGGATGTCGGACAAAGGGAGGTTTCTGACAACAAAGTGCAAAGTCTTCTTCTCTTCAAGTAAAAATCATTTTCATATTAGGGGGGGGGGGGGAATTAGGAAAAAGGAAGATCTTCGTGAGCTGCAAATAGGCACTTATCTCTGTTTTTGAAAAGTGGGGTATACAAACAAGCAGTGGTGTAGTGCTATCAGTGGCGAATTTTAGGGGGCAACTAGGGACAGTTGAAGAAAGTCTGGCGCCCCTTTTTCGGAAATTGTGCGCCTTTTTCGGAAATTGTGCGCCCCTTTTGAAGAATAAGAATCAGGTGAAAAAGTTTCTTCAAAGATTACCTCAAAGTTATGTTGTTTATTCCGAAAATGGTTCTGAAATTGTTGTATACACCGTACTCTCGTCACCAATTTTTGAAAATTTTACAGCGCAGTAAAATGGCAGTTCATAATGGCAGTTCATGATATTTTAAGTACAATAGCGAGAGTCACGGTGAACATTTAATAAAGTGTAGAAACTTGTATCAGGGACACACTTGGAGACACTTTTGTACACACTCACACACACATACACAGAACGGTCATGGATTGAAAGGCTAAGAAAAAGGCTGATGGTGATGGGGCCCAGACCTTCCTTGGTATCTTAAGACCCCACACAGTTATTGTTATTACATTCGGTATTGTAATACGTGCCGAGATACACGGCAGCATGTAGAGTTCTAATAATAATGTTGATTTAATATTTGATTTAAAGCAATGGTAAATTACATGTTTTGATTCTCAATAACTAATAAGGACAAACGTATGGAAAATATCAATCGACAAGTCTCAGTGAACGTGATTATGTATGTTGTAACTCGAAATAAGTGAGTTAGTTGGTCGGAAATGTGAAATAAAATACTAATGGATTTGATAAAAATAGTTACACAAAATGGTGATTTTTCTCTGAATCTTCATCTTACACTTCGTCTTTCATTAAAAATTAAGATAGGGGCACCGCTAGAAATAGTGGTCCCAACAGATGGCATTCAACCCGAGTGGCTTGTGAAAGCACTCGAGGTTTCGTTTCAAATATATTCAAATAATTTAATGGCGTAACAGTGCTTGTGAAAGGCTGTTTGGTACCTAAGTTTTAATATTGTATAAAATAAAGTCTCAGCTTTGGATGGAATAAAAAGAATAGATTTGGTGTGTCAAAACGTGTCAGTTGTTCGCTCGGTATCAAACAACAAATGGTGTCAGGAATTTTATAATGTGCCAGCAAATTTTACACAATCGTCTTGGATGTGCTGTCTGAAGAGAGAAGAAAAGGCGACTAGATTAACTGTCTTCTGTGTAAAACTTGTCAGAAATGGATTCATGCACGTTTTGCTAATGTCAAGTCAGTACTGCACAAACTAGACCCATAAGACCAGGATAAATTTCATACGTAATTTCAAGATGCGATGATAAAAAATTTGTTCAGTGATAAACAAGGAGTGTGTACAGTGATAAAATAAATAATTATAGTCATGGCAGGCAAAGTTTACGCTTTTTCACGAGCTTCAAAATTTTTGGCCTATTGCAATTAGAAATTCGATAGCTACGCCTGAACATACACAGGGCCACAAGAAGGTGGCATGGGGCAAATCACCTCGAGGCTTTAAGGTTTTGGGGTCCCTAAAGTTATGAATGCCATTTTAAGAATGAAATAAAATAGCAAAGTAGCAAAACGTTTCAATCGAATGTAAGAAAATGACTACAAGAAAAGATTCTGAGATGTATGTATAAAATAATATGAGATGTATAAACTAAAAGCCCTGTACATACCTGATGCACGATTAGCAAACAAGCAATAGACGATGGAATCAAAAGTACTTGGGATTTACACTATATATTCAAGTTGAATTGCATAAACATTAGCCGAACTTTCCATCGAGATTCGCAAAAAAGAGTGGTTTTCAAATGTATTTCCTACTGAAGAAGGCAAGGAAACGGAAAAGATATATGACAAAAGAAAGAAAACATTAAAAAACTGAAAATTTATAACTTAAACGATTAATTTGTTGCTTTTCTATTAGGTTGAAAAAATTATGAATATATTGGTTTTGTGAATGCCTTATCAAAAGTGTAATCACACGACTGCTTGTATCACCAGTTGTCTCAGTTGAGATACCAATTGCGATATTAATAATATTTACTGGTAATTTTGATTTTGGAAAGCGCAGCTTAATAAAAAGTAGATAACCAATATGACGAGAAAGAGAGACATCTTGTTGCGTTGTATTTTGACATTTCTTCTATTTCAAACTAGTCAAAGATGTAACAATCAGTATGATATAACAAGCTGTTCTTCTAGTGTGTTTGTGGCAAAATAGTGTTGTTCACAATAAAAGCAAAAATAAAACTTAGAGGTAAACAAAAGTTTACTTAGGGCCCAACCCGAAAAACTCGCTTTTTATAAGAATACTATACAATTTTCCAGCCTTGAGCCTGAATATACCCGTTCTCAAAGTATTCTTATATTTTTGCATATTTGAGATGGTTTTGGGGAACACCGCCCGCTGTTGAATAAAAACTTTTTGAAAAAGGAGAAATGTCAGTTCTGCTATTCCATGTATTATGAAAATCCTAAAATAGCAACTGCTGAAAAATGAGACACAAAAATGTGAGCTAAGGTTGAGAAATATTCCTATAATATTCTTAAAAATTGGATGATTGTGAGCCTGAATAGTCTTATCAACACTATTCTTATAAAATAGGGCCGTCGGAACCGGGGGATTGGGGGGGGGGCGTAGTATATTTCAAACTGTTGAACGAATCAAATTGTCAAATTGTAGTATATTTCCTAGTGTACTGAAACAATAGGCAACCCCCCAATATGAATTTCGTACCGACGACACTGTAAAAGCAGAGTGTTAGTTGGACTTGCTACAAGGCTCTCCCTCTGAAAAATAAAGGGAAAGAAAGAAAAAAATGGGAGGAAACCTCCTTCCCTTCCATTTTGTCTTTTTTTCCTTTTCTATATTTTTCAGATTTCTGAATGGATAGAGAGAGACTTGTAGCGAGTCCAAGTGTTACTTGCTTCTAAAATCAAATATTTGGGAAGTCACTACTCCCAGCACCCTCGCTTAGTCTGTCTTGTGAAAAGGAGGAAAATATTTCAAAGAATCAGATCTTGATGTTTCACAATTCAGAATCACATTTTTGAATTAAAGAATGAGCAAGAAAGCTTTTCAGAAAATTCTCGAAACCAATCAACAAAAGGGTTCATACCTTCAAGTAAAAGTTTGGCATCGCAAAATGTTGTAAAGGAAAATCAATGAAAGGTTTCTCGTTAAGTTAAGCCTGTCACATAGTTGACAGGGTCATAGAAGACCTTTGTATGAAACGAGCGAATGCAGAGAAATATTTTCGGACTGGTATTAGCAAGCAGTAAAGATGGCACAAAAAGTTGATGTTCAGCTGTTCCGTTCCTTATCAGTATTACAAATCAGCTGAAGGCAAGACTTGGAGACAGAAACCAGCTGAAGCCAAGGCTCGTGGAACTGTTCAACCTCCTCCCATCTGTAATGCGAAGCAAAGAATTCAATAATAATATTTTAAAGAGCAAAATGTCTTCGGGAATGGAAGATGATGGGCTGCTATTCAAAAGTGAGCTGGCTCTGGGAAAAGGAGATGACAGCAGGGTCGCCGAGAGGGGGACAAAGGGGCAAATTGCCCTAGGGCCTCGAGGTCTAGGGAGCCTCACAAAGCAATTAATTCCGTTTTTAAATGGAATTTATTAAAAGAAACAAAATTACAATTAAAAAGTAAAACATCTTATACGAATAAGTGAATTTAAGCTATTTGCAAGGGTGTTGTGGCAAAATTTTTGCTCGCTTCGCTCGCAAGAGGCATTGTTTTTTTCATTTCCCCCCTCCCTCGGGCCTCCTAAACTTCCCGGGGGCACTGGATGGCAAACAGAAAGAAGTCATGTGCATAGTTAACATTAAAAGGAAAAAATAAATCACACCTCACTACAAAATAAACCGTACACCACAACTTTTCTCTATTGATCAGTTTCCCTTGTCTGGCGTACAATATTTACAGATTTACCAACTGCTCATATTTTCGGCGTACCTAAACAAATGCCCCGGTGGACCTTTAATGAAGTTTAATTAGAAGTGCCCTTTTTGTGTCTTTGACCCGTGCCCTCTGAAATTTCTGGTTGCGCGCCTGAACTGTATTATGTAAACATAAAACTGTTTTTGAAACTTTTCACAAATTCCCGTAGTATCTAGGAAGAAGTCATTATCTAGTTGCCCAGCATTCCAAAGTATATGGTTTGCTCAAGTTTCCAGTTTGATTTGTATAGAATTTTGTTCCACCCCTTCTTTTGGTATCAAATTACTTCCTAGTTCCTAGCCCTTTCGTTTTATTTTAAACCTTCAACTTCCGCCACTTGGTCTACGCTCGGAAACTTGGCACTCAAAATGATTTAAAAATATATTTCAATCCAAGCTGGAAAATGTGATGAAATTATATCGGATACAGCAAGAAGAAGGTGTCTAGTATGATGAAGCCCGGACAAGCTGGAACTGAGGTTGTCGTGAAAATGAAACTTTCAACAATAGGTATCAGACTTGCCCTAGGTAACGTCTTTTCGTTCACGGCAGCAATTCTTATACTATGCTGTTTATTTGTCTTTTATGCAAATTAATAATTATGTATGATAATGATTAGGGCTTTTGACTAGCATAGATCACACAGGCGGGTAGCTCTGTGCAATATAAATTGGAGGAAGCCTCAAATAGTGTAGGTTATTCTCAAGTTTGAAACTTGAACCCCTTTCCCCTAGTGACCGCTTTTATCGAAATAAATGTTTGTGCTCACAAGTAACACAAATGCTTTCGAAAAACCCGCATGTACATAGTTATGGTAGTGGGGGAAATCGAGATAATTATATCAATGTTTTGGTTAAAGAAAAGAACCTCCGTCACACATGATGGTCATCACAATTGAGGAATCAGTTGCGTGTGGTGGACTTCCGCACTGGTCTGGCAAAAAGCAACGGGTGAGAAGGTTTTTCAAGGGAAAGTTTTTGGTAAATTTCCTTCTGAAAAGCCTGCTTGCATAAATTTTAAAGATTACCTCTTCCAAAAAGGCTTGAATTGACGAAGACCAAGGCAACACAAAACTGCTTGGATCTACGTGATCATTTAGAGTAGTGGCAAGACTGTTGTTTTTAACTTCCGCACGAACTTCAGAGCCGACGTTGCTAAAACGAGGAACAAGCGGAACAACCTAGTAACAAGCGGAACAACCCAGTAACAACCCAGGAACAAGCGGAACAACCCAGTAACAACCCAGGAACAAGCAGAACAACCCAGTAACAAGCGGAAATGTGAAGTTATTTTTTTGTAAATAACACATGGGGGCGTTTATAAGCCAACTCTCTAAAGTTCGTGTGGGCTAGCACGTTCACTATCAAGAGGCCGTCAAACACTTCCGTTATGTAATTTTTTGGCAGTTCGCTGCCATTTTCCCTCCTTTTCACACAACCGTACATAGTTTGATGGATCAGAAAACCTGTCGTTGTGGTTTTTTACTCGAATCAAACACCGACATAGCAAGGCAAGGGCTGGTACACAAAAAGCCCAAATTGAGGGGTCGAAAATTGAGGTGGGGGATAATATTTAGAATATATTAATGGCAACCGAAGGGGCAAAAGGACCGGGGGGTGTGGGGGTGTCACACCTCCCCGATAGTATCTCAATGAGAAATTTCAGGTAAAATCTCAATAAACTAACAACAAATGTTGCCAAGTTTGTACGAGAAATAATCAGACAAGGCAAAAAATTGGAAATTCTCCTATGAACTGAATCGAAACTCCATTTCTAGGCATAGATTTTTTACTCATTACTTTTGATTGTACACTTTTAATTGTCGCATTTTTTATGTTGCTACTGTTTTTTGATCTGCTGCAAATTGTTGCTTATTATGTTTGTAAGAAGAAGCACTCGATTAACGTAAATAGCTGATGTAAGAATGGCTCTTCAACTAAGTGTATTTAGATAAATTAATTTTTTTATGATGATGATGAAAACGCCAAACATTGGTTGCGTGTTTGTCACCTTGCCATCATTAGTTCACGATACTGCGCCATTCAATCGCCTGGGGAGAAAATGACTTTGATGTACCTACGAGAAACTGATGGTTTGCCCAGAAATAATTTTACTGAGGCGGAAAGTTGACTTCTTCTTTAATCCAAATTATAAGTTGTAAGAGAAATTAACAATAAATATTTGAAATTAACAACAATGAAGTAAACAGGCTACTTGCTTTTTTTTATTAAAAAGATATCTAGGCCAAGATGGCCTCTAACGTAATTACAACATTAATATAACAAGAAAAGTTAATATAGTTACTGCTACAACAACTTTTCAAACGTTAATTTCAACTCAGTTTCATGAAAAATACAATGGTTAAATGCGTATGTTTTCTGTGTTTGACATCAAAGGCTAGAGAGGGGGGGGGCTTAATAGAGAGGGGAGGCTTATCTAAAGTTTTTGCTTGATAAGGGGGGACTTAATAGAGAGGGGGGCTTAATAGAGCCTTTATGGTAGCTCAAAATGCGTTTTAGAACATTTCTTCCAGTCATTTCTTGCAATCGTCTTTTTTGCATACTTTTGCTATTTTCAATAAATTTACCCCCTATGTCTAAGGGCCTCCGTGAAGGCATTAATCAGGCATAGAAAAAATTTCTAAGGGGGGAAGGGGGTCTAATGCCAGATTGCCGTATAGAGATGTTTAAATGCAAATCAAATAAAGGCTTACTCTGAAGTTGAAAACTGAAGAGGCCCTCTTCCTCGTTTATTAATTTTTTAAAATCTATCTTCATCCCAATAGACGTACTTTTTAAGATTGTTATTAACTCACAAGAAACTCGGAAGAATCTCTACTGAAAATGTAGGTTTATAGATATCATTCTATTTTTTTCATTTTTGTGTGACTGTATTTTGAACATAAAAAATGCGACAATTAATAGTGTACAATCAAAAGTAATGAGTAAAAATCTATGCCTAGAAATGGAGTTTCGATTCAGTTCACAGGAGAATTTCCAATTTTTTACCTTGTCTGATTATTTCTCGTACAAACTTGGCAACATTTGTTGTTAGTTTATTGAGATTTTACCTGAAATTTCTCATTGAGATACTATCGGGGAGGTGTGACACCCCCCGATCCTTTTGCCCCTTCGGTTGCCATTAATATATTCTAAATATTATCCCCCACCTCAATTTTCGACCCCTCAATTTTTGGCTTTTTGTGTACCAGCCCTTGCCTTGCTATGTCGGTGTTTGATTCGAGTAAAAAACCACAACGACAGGTTTTCTGATCCATCAAACTATGTGTGAAAAGGAGGGAAAATGGCAGCGAACTGCCAAAAAATTACATAACGGAAGTGTTTGACGGCCTCTTGATAGTGCACGTGCTAGCCCACACGAACTTTAGAGAGTTGGCTTATAAACGCCCCCATGTGTTATTTACAAAACAATAACTTCACATTTCCGCTTGTTACTGGGTTGTTCTGCTTGTTCCTGGGTTGTTACTGGGTTGTTCCGCTTGTTCCTGGGTTGTTACTGGGTTGTTCCGCTTGTTACTAGGTTGTTCCGCTTGTTCCTCGTTTTA